ACCTATTCCAATATTATGCAGCAAGTGCGCTTCTTCAACCCCACAGCGAAGTTGGATAATGTCCATTATTTCTATTATATGAAGGATGGCCAGCTGATGACGTTAAATGAAAAAGATGAAGAAGTGGTGGTAGACTTGATCAGCGCGATGGATACAGAAACCATCACGTCATCTGCTCAAGAACCAACCTTGCAAGGGCCCATTGCTGAAGGCGAAGATCGCGTAGAAGCGAATGAGGGTCCTCAGGATATGTCTATTCAAACTATCTAGCTTTCTTGCATCTTTACTTGGTTCTTCGGTTTGTAAAGGGAATGTTCCCTATTTATGTGAAACAATGATATTTTGCTAACAATATGAGTGTCATATAAACTGCCATGATGATGATATATACTGTTTTCTTGTATGACGAATGCCAACTAAGTACGCGTCGCTCCATAGATTAGATGTAGTTGTATCCTCTTTGGATGAAGAACTATGGTAAAAAATACTTCCAGCTACCTTACTGTTATAAGACGCTATGGTGTACTCCTGTAAGGTTATGGCAAAAAGTTGATAACCTTCGAGGGATATTACCCTCCTCATCCTTCTTCTCTTCTTTGAAGCTTTTCCCGAGGATATTGGGATGCCTCCCTAGATTATACCATGGGAGTTGACATATGTTTGGAATTTATTGTGTTCCTTCCTTTTTGGCTACTGCACAATAGATCAGCGCGCTTGTTACTTTATCTGGAAGTAGGGCTCATGCTTAGTATGGTACTTGAGAACCATAAGCGAATATCTGCAATAAGTCATCAATTTATAATGCATATATTTTGCATACCTTTGTTTTTGGCATATTTTTGAGGTGTGATGTCATTTGTAGTTTGACGTTTGATAGAAGTATCGCGCTTTTGAAGGAAGTTTTAACCAGTGAAGGCTTTGCCTTCCTTCGTTCCTGATTGCGTGTCGGAGGAAGTTAAAGCTTATCCTACCTTTCATCCTCTTTATCGCGATGAAACTTGGAGGATGTTTCGTTAGCTTCCTTTTATCGCGCTGGAATTCAGAGGAAATATATATTAGTCTTCTTTATCGCGCTGGAACTTAGAGGATCCTTTTGGGGGATCCTTTACTTGGAGGATCCTTGTGAGGGATCCTTCCTTTACTTGGAGGATCCTTTTGGGGGACCCTTGAAGTTGGAGGATCATTTTGGGGGATCCTTATGAATGGAGGATCCTTTTGGGGGATCCTTATGATTGTTGGATCCTTTTGGGGGATCCTTGAAGTTGGAGGATCCTTTTGGGGTATCCTTATGATTGGAGGATCCTATCCTTTTAGGGGATCCTTGAAGTTGGAGGATCCTTTTGGGGGATCCTTGAGATTGGAGGATCCTTTTGGGGGATCCTTATGATTGGAGGATCTTTTTGGGGGATCCTTATTATTGGAGGATCCTTTTGGGGGATCCTTGAAGTTGGAGGATCCTTATGATTGGAGGATCTTTTTGGGGGATCCTTGAAGTTGGAGGATCCTTGAGAATGGATGTCATCGCGCTTTGCGGTATCGCGCCCTTATGGTTGGGCAATTGTGGACATGTTGTGACCCTGTCCACTTATTTATATGCGCGATGCACTATGTATCAATTATATAGAAATTTGCAATCTTTATTTGTTAAGTTGGAAAGACAAGTTGGAAAGACAAATATGCTACAAACAAGAAAAGACACAGCTATAAAATCTCTTAAGCTTGTCCGCGTTTCATGTGTGCGGGATAGTAAGTCCAGACAACGTCTCAATGACATATGCACCCTTATCAGTTTTGTTGTGGATGCGATATGGACCTTCCCAATTCGCGGCTAGTTTAACTTGTCGCGCGTTCTTATTGCCAATGTCCACTCTTCGTAGGACTAAGTCGCCTACGTTGAAACTTCGTTTGATAACTTTTAAGTTATAGCGCGCTGCAATTCTTTGCTTAGAGGTTACCTCCTTAACATGAGCAATTTCGCGCATTTCATTGATTACATCTAAATTATGTAGTAATGCCTGTGAATTGCTGTCTTCATTCGTGTACATCCTTCTCCATGATGGTTCTCCAATTTCAACCGGAATCATGGCTTCACTACCATAAACCATGCGGAACGGGGTTTTCCCCGTAGTTGAATGCGGGGTTGTTCTGTAACCCCATAACACAAAGTCTAATTGTTCAGGCCAGTCTCCTTTAGCTGCTTCTAGTCTTCTTTCCAATCCTCGTTTTAAGACTCGATTTGCAGCTTCTGCCAATCCATTTGTTTGTGGATGTTCCACAGATGTGTATCTGTGTTTGACATGCAAATCGTGAAGTATTTGATTGAATTTTTTATCCACGAACTGCGTACCATTATCAGTTATGATGGTATGAGGGACATCAAATCGGCTTATAATTTGTCGATAAAAGAATCGGCGAACCTTACTGGCTGATATTGTGGCTAAGGCTTCTGCTTCGATCCATTTAGAAAAATAGTCTATTGCTACTAGTAACCATTTTACCCCTCTTACAGCAATTGGGAATGGTCCTAATATATCCATGCCCCATTGGTAGAATGGCCAAGGGGATAATATTGAAGATAATTCCTCGGGGGAAGCATGGTGCAAGTCTGCGTGCTCTTGACATTTGACACAATGCCGCACATGTTTTTTGGAATCTTTTTCCATGGTGGGCCAGAAATAGCCCGCTCGAAGCAGTTTTCTAGATAAGGATTTACCTCCCATGTGATGTCCGCTAATCCCCTCATGAACCTCTGAGATTACATATTGAGCTTGTTGGGGATCCAAACATTTAAGCATTGGGGAAGAAAATTCTTTCTTGTAAAGCTGGTCATTGATGATAGTATAGAATGAAGCCTTGCGCGCTAGCTTTTTTGCTGCGCGCGGTTCTAGTGGTGTCTCTCCTTTATACAAGTAGTTCCAAATTGGTGTCATCCATGTTTCTTTATCATCCAGAAGCATGGTATCTTCCTCGACCATGGATTGCACACTCTGAGATGGATGAGCTTTTCGTTTAGTTACAGCCAATATAATGCTAGGATTGGGGACGCTTTGCTGGATGACTGATCTATTATTTCCTGGTCCCTTCGTGCTGGCTAATTTAGACAAAATATCGGCTCGCGAATTTTGCTCTCTAGGGATGTGCTCCATTTTGAAGCTTTGAAAGTCTGTTAATAGTAATCTTACCTTTTCGAGATATTTTATCATTAATGCTCCTTTTGCCTGGTAATTCCCTTGTACTTGTGCAACTACCAATTGCGAATCGCTTTTGAGGATTATTTTTGTTGCCCCCAAGTCTTTTGCCATCGCGAGTCCTGCGAGTACCGCTTCATACTCAGCTTGGTTGTTTGAGGCTTTAAACCCAAAATGGATAGAATATTCCACTGTTATACCTTGAGGGCTTTCCACGATGACTCCTGCACCACTTCCTTTAACATTGGAAGATCAATCAGACAAAAATAATTCAATCTTAATTCACCTCAACCTGATGTAGGTGTGTCATTTCGACGAGGAAATCGGCTAATACCTGAGCTTTGATTGTTTGACGTGGTTCGTAAATGATGTCGTATTCAGATAACTTTATTGAACATGAAATCATGCGACCGACCAAATCAGGTTGTCACAGACGGCGTGTCATCAGCTGGCCATCCTTCATATAATAGAAATAATGGACATTATCCAACTTCGCTGTGGGGTTGAAGAATCGCACTTGCTGCATAATATTGGAATAGGTCCCCTCAGCTTCATTCTTGAACAAACCTTGATACTTCTTCACCTCACTGGTTAAGAAAGCCTTCTCTTCTGCCCACGCATCGACATTCCCTTCCCACAGACGGCGCCAATGATCAGACCAAATACAATATGGGCTGGCCAATATGTATTGAGCCTAATCACACACGGTTGAGATGTGGATTGTTGTTCTTGGTCTTGGGCCTGGAATTGGAGTTGAATCTTACTATGCCTTTGTCCTTTGTTGCAGCGCGGTGAATCTGAATGGGGGGGTACCTGCGAAGACACTCTGATACTTAAGTCAATATCAGAGGCATGAGTTTTTATGTTATTAATGTAAAGGATGATCGTGCCTGGGTGTTGTACCCTCTGCTTATATAGCGGTTATGAGGCCGCCTTAATAAGGCGGCATGACCTCTGAGTGGCCAGGCTTGGGCTGCAGGTCAGTGCTAGAACCTGAGTAGCCTTATCCTCTTAATGCCAAGCCATAGAGTCACGGTAAGGTAGAGCTGTCTTTCGTTTATTGGTACAAAGGGGCGGTGGGATTGCCTTGGGTATTAAGTTAGCTTCCTTAAGGGCAGTTTTATCCGGGATATGGGCATCGCGTCTTGTCTTGCGCGAAGAAGGCATCGCGTCTTGTGCGCGATGATGTCATCACACTTTACTCTGGATCTTAAATGGGATTGGACTTCCACGTGTGTCATTGGACTTCTAATGGACCTATATTTTATCCGGATCATTATTCAAATAAAAAATCTTTATTTTAATAAAGTCTACCATATCTAACGTGTAAAAAATATTTTCTGCATTTGACTATGGATTCATTAATATTAGTACAGAGATAGTCTTTCTTAAAATCAGAAGTTAGAAGTGTTCAGCTGCGTGCACGGACCGTAATCACTAATACGCTCGCCCATATTACTATTTTTATGCAAATTTGTCTTTATTTGACTTATTTATTGGAAAATGAAACTGTTCGCTCATGTACAGTACATATATGATAAAATTAGTAGGAATACGAAACTTAACTTTTATGTTCATTAGTAAATATTGATTTGAATAAGATATTAAAAACTTATCATATCTTTAGTGGTACGTAGTAGTTTAACATAAATCGCAATCCTACCTAAGATAGTTCATGTGCTAATGCTTGACTATTCTAGCATGGCTGAAGGCACACGTTAATTAATCCAGACTCCAGAGTCCACACTCTTGATTAATATATATATCAGAGACTACTGCAACTCATTTCTCAATTGCACAAAACATTCAAAAATGGAGCATGTAGGAGGCTCACATTTTACTGTTGTTATAATTTGTCTTTTATTTTCATTTACATCTTTGGCAGCTGATACTCATGAAGACTTCATTCAATGTCTTTACCTTAATTCCCATAACTCCACATCAATCTCTAAGGTTGTCTACACCCAAACCAACTCCTCTTATTCATCCACACTGAAGTTTTCCATTCAAAACCTCAGATTTGCATCCAACACAACTCGTAAACCCCTTGTGATTGTCACACCTCTGGAAGTTTCCCATATTCAAGTTACCATATTATGTTCCCAAAGCCATGGCATGCAGATTCGAACTCGAAGTGGTGGCCATGATTATGAGGGTCTCTCCTATGTTTCTGAAGTTCCATTTGTCATAATTGATCTCATAAACTATCGACAAATTGAAGTGGACGTAGAAAACAGAATTGCATGGGTTCAAGCTGGGGCAACTGTTGGTGAACTTTACTATAGGATTAGCCAGAAAAGCAAAACTCTTGCCTTCCCAGCAGGTGTGTGCCCCACTATTGGCATTGGTGGTCACATAAGTGGTGGTGGCTATGGATTCTTGATGCGTAAATATGGTCTAGCTGCTGATAATATAATTGATGCCCACATAATTGATGTGAAAGGTAGGCTTCTTGACAGAGAATCCATGGGTGAGGATCTGTTTTGGGCCATTAGAGGAGGTGGGGGTGCAAGCTTTGGTGTCATCCTAGCATGGAAGGTAAAACTAGTTCCAGTTCCATCAACTGTGACAGCATTCAGAGTTCCCAGGACATTGGAACAAAATGCAACCAAGCTTATTCATAGGTGGCAACTTGTGGCAAATAAACTTCATGAGGACATAGGCATTAACATCATCTTGCAGAGGGTAAATTCAAGTGAAAAAGGGGAGTTAACAGTGCAAGCCCTATTCTCTTCTTTGTTTCTTGGAGGGGTAGATAAGCTCATTCCCTTGATGCAAGAGCATTTTCCAGAATTGGGTTTGGTCAGAGAAGACTGTACTGAGATGAGCTGGATAGAATCGGCCCTTTACTTATTTGGCTTTCCAAGTGGTTCCCTTGAAATTTTGCTGAACAGAACACAAACTGCAACGGATTTTTTCAAAGCAAAATCTGATTACGTGAGAAATCCCATTCCTGAAATTGGCCTAGAAGGTATATGGCCAATGTTTGATGAAGATGTGGCCCAAGGTGTAATGATGGAACTCTTTCCTTACGGTGGCATAATGGATAAGATTTCAGAGTCCGAAATTCCATTCCCCCATAGATATGGAAACTTATACATTATTCAGTACTCTCTGCATTGGCTACAAGAAGGGGATGAGGTAGCACAAAGGCACATAAGTTGGATTAGAAGACTTTACAGTTATATGGAACCTTTCGTTTCGAAGTCTCCTAGAGCTGCATATTTCAATTATAGAGACCTTGACATTGGGGTGAATAACGAAGGCTACACAAGCTATAAACAAGCTAGCATTTGGGGTCTTAAGTATTTCAAAAACAACTTCAAACGATTGGCACATGTGAAGACTAAGGTTGATCCTTTTAACTTCTTCAGGAATGAACAGAGCATACCTTCCCTTTCTATGGAAGGAACACAAATAGAAATTCCTGGGAAGAAAAGGTTATACAAAAATTTGCTACTTTGTTATCTTCCTTTTATGTGTACCTAAGGTAGGATTCGGTCCATAGTTATCATATATAGGAAGCTATTTGGATGCCTAATAAGTTGGCTTATCATATTTCATACTTTCTAGCAGTTTCATGTATGTTTTCTATTCAACCTATTGTGGATGATAATGAGATAAACAAGCTATGTTCAGTACGGGGGCCTAAAGGCGAATTGTTAATTTGTTATTATGTGATACCTTTAAGCAACTTTTTGCTTATACGATAACTAAAACAAGTGAATGAACTTAATCATAGTCTAATAGTGCTAATTCCTAAATTGGAACCTCAGAACTTAAATTTCAGCCTGCCCAATTAGTCATTGTAACAATACTTATAATACAGTCATAAATATATATCTTACATGTTGGTGGTAGTTATGGAAAACATTGTGATCCCGCAACAGTTTTGAGAATGCACCGACTTCTACAGAGAATAAAAGGAGGAACTGATTAGGCATTCAGCAGACATATGCGTTTTTATCTGCAACAGTTAAATAATTACGTGCAATTTATCAAATTTGCAGAGGTCCAGAAACAGGAAAAACACATTATGTTGCTCGGTATACTTAATAAGTGAAAGTGTAAAAGATAAGAAAGACATTCATATGTGAATAACAAAGAATTTTGGTTTTAAAAGTGCAATACATGTCTTGGCAAAGAATAAAGATCTGGAAAAACCAATTTCGGACACATTGAATTCAGTATTATATCAACTGGACCTCTCTTATGGAAAATTCTCCCACAACTCATCATGAAATGGTATTTTCCAATTGTTCCAGCATTTGTCGAAAAACAAAAAGCTGTAAAAACATTCTAATCAGAAACTGTAAAAACAAACCATAATAGTGAAGGTTCAATTTAATGTTTTACCAAGGATTAAAAGGAAATCTTCTTGTCAGCAGTCTTTCACATCAGTAAAGGGAGTAATAATGGAATCCTTAATAAAACATATATTAACAGTAGTTAAGAGAAATGCAGAGATAACCTCCGAAAAAAAAAAGAGAAATGCAGAGACAAAAGCCATACTTTGAAGTTGTGACATCTGTGGCAGATAAACTATTAAAAGGTATAAGCACCAACAGAACCAAGGTTTTACTCTGCAAACAGAAAAGTAAAATGGGGTATGATGGTTAAACAAGTTACAAAGGCATCGCAATCAAACAAAACATAATGAAAAGATAATATTGAAAGAACAGATATTAATATAGAATTGATTTAATCTATGAAAACATATGGCATACAATAAATTATATGACAAGTACTAATATATAAGGATAAAACCTTTATATGAAATCAGCGTCTTAATCAGCGTCTTAATGAACTTAATATCCACACACACACACACAAAAAACAGGTATTCTTGCAGAGATGATGATTGGATTCAAGTTAACAAACGGAAGAAATAACATCTGATCCGACAAGATTCATCGAAGAGAGTTTACCGTATTTAATGTATCAGATTCGAACCTGAGAGACTTTAACTTCTCGCGCTATTTTGAAATACCAACGTGGCCTTTGTTTCAAGGTCTCGTTATAGAGGCTGGATTTCGTGGCTGTTTGGATCTTCTCTTCTTTAAGCCAGAAGCTACTTATAAGCATAAGTTAGGTTAAACAGATTTTGAAAAAAGCTCTTTTAACGAAAAGCTCTTTTTTTTTATAATAAATAAAAAAGCTACAAACTAAAAGCTCCTATGAGAAGCTTTTTTTTAAGCTCTTATCTTTTTTTCTTGAATTGTGTGTTTTTTTTTTAAATGAAGAATGATAAAAATAAAGAGAGAGATAATTTTCTTGAAATATGTGCTTTTAAATAATTTTTAAGCTAAATTTTTTATGTAATTTTTAAACAGCTTTTAGCTTCTTTTTTTAAATTATTTTTTTTAACTTAAAAATAAGAGGATCCAAACAGGTTTTATGTATATGTCAATCGTAGAGTCACCTGGACATTACAACCTTAATAGAGATAACACCCTTAATAGATTAATTAGGTTAATAAATTATTCATATAACTCAATTCTTTGCACTCTACAGGTTAATTAGGTATATATGCTTGTTAAAACATATTTTCGTTTCTTATTTTTATTATTAGAATTTAAAAAGGTCAATTTCAAACAATTTATTTAATTTGTTAGTATAGAAAGACTTAGATTAATTGTATTGCAATATTTTAAATTAGTTGTTATTGTATAATGAATATAGAATTTTAAAAGACGTCTCATTAAAATTTTAAAAAATAATTCAATTAATTAATTTTGGACTTACAACCTAAACTGGCCCACTGAGTCAAGTCCGTACCGGGGCACCCAAGTTAAGGAAAAATTTATTCAATTTTTAATTTAATTAGTTTAATTTATAAGGATAAGATATTGTAACAATCAAATATAGTTACTACCAATATTATTACCAATCAATTTCACCGGTGAATTAGTTATTTTGATCTGACGATTCAGATTTGATATTTATATAGCTCATTTCTCTCCGTTTCTCTCTCTTCCCTTCTCTCTCTTACAAATGGTAATGTGGTTTGGCATTCAGCCTCAATTAGCAAAATCAAATAAACCCTAATTTATTTAAGAAGTCATGATTTTTATATTAAAATTCAATAAAATAAGCTAAAACAAAGACAGAGGTTGCTATAACATCAAATCCTGTGGAACACGAATATAGAATCTGATTTCATTAAGATTAATACAGCACACATCTAAAAAGTGGCATCGAATTCTGACTGGAAAAAAAATTCTTGTCACCCCTTCCTAATTATATACTCTAAGAGGGATTAAAGGCAGCGACGAGGCGATAGAGTAAGAGGGGCAGCAGCGGCGTGGCGACGGTGATGGGCAGCGACGGCGACTATGGGTAAAGAGTATAGTGAGAGAGAAGGGAAGAGAGAGAAAGAGAGAGAAAGGGGCTATATAACTAGGGTTTAATAAGAGTTATGTTGTAGGAAAAGTGATTGTGTTATGTTATAGAGATTCGTTTTGCGTGCCAGAGTTTTTTTTTTTCAAAAATTGTGGGTCCCACAAAATGTTGTGTGTGTAGGAAAGTTGTTGTGGTCATGTTAAATTATAGATACAAAACCCATATAACTATCAAATATGAACTGTCGGATCAAAATAACCAATCTAACAATGAAATTAATTGGTAGTAAGTAGTAACTATACTTGGTTGTTACAATATCCTACCCCTAATTGAGGTAAGATCCTTTGACACCAGTGTCAAATTTAAAGTTTGACATCTCATTTGAGAGACGTTAGATAAAAAAAATCAATGGTGTTACATGTTTACAGATCGTTAATCTTTTTTTATCTAACGCCTCTCAGATGAAATCTCAAATTTTAAATTTGACCCCGGTGCCAAAGGATCCTTTGACACCGGTGTCAAATTTTGAAATTTGACACCAAATTCTATCCGTTGATTTTCGCCAATCAACGATTATCATTTATTGAGAATTAATAGTTAATTAATGAGTTTGATTCTCAATAAATGATAAGCGTTGATCGGTGAAAATCAACGGTTAGGATTTGGTGTCAAATTTCAAAGTTTGACACCTCATCTGAGCCATTAAATAAATAAAAAACGACCCTAATTTGTATGCATGTGACACTATTGATTTTTTTATTTAACGGCTCTTAGATGAGATGAAGTGTCAAACTTTAAATTTGACACCAATATCAAAAGATCCTACCCATATATATATATATATATATATATATATATATATATATATATATGAGGTAGGATCCTTTGACACCGGTGTCAAATTTTAAATTTGACACCTTATCTTAGAGCCGTTAGATCAATAAAGATCAATGGTGTCACATGCTTACAAATCAAAGTCGTTGATCTTTTTTGATCTAACGGCTCTAAGATAAGGTGTCAAATTTAAAATTTGACACTGGTGTCAAAGGATCCTGCCTCTATATATATATATATTGTAATTACAGTAAATACTATTTTATGTAAGTATATCAGCTCTTAAAATCCTTTAAGCAAAGGCAGCTTAACCCATTGACACCTTAGATCGACTCATTTAATTGGATGTATCCTTACACCTGATTTTCCTACTACTAACGTGAGACACTTCGTTGTTTTTTTTTTATTTAAAAAAAATGAGCCCAATCATTTATAATAAAGTTGACATTGTGATTTGAGTCCATAAATTACCAAATAAAATCATATTACAATCACAAAGTAGATCTAGATGCTTGGAAAACGTCCATTGTGACTTCAAGTTCGGAGGCATAACCTATCGAGCAAAGCTTGTCACAATAGATGGTTTGAACGCAAGTTGTGACCTGAAGTTTCCCAAGTAACTGATGAAGCTAGAATCCTTTGAATGTTGTCTTACGCTGACAAGTCATATTGATGCATACACGTCAGGATATAAATAGGCAGGGCAATATTAGGTTTTGACTCAAATAAATTATGTTCTGTATAAAATACTTTAGGCATGTTTTGGTGTATTAATTTTGTGTAGGCTCAAATTATAAGTTTGATCTGACCTAAAAAAATAAAAACTTTGGCCTAGATTTGTTACCCTATTTAAACCTATTAGACAATTTATAATTAAAAAAAAATTAAAAAGCATTACTTTATTATTTAAAATTATTAAAATAATAATTTATTTATTATATTTGAAATAAATAATATGATATAACCCAACATATAGACTTATATGCCCGGTATATAAAAGAAAGCTGTAATGTCCCACATCGGTTGGAGAGGGGAACGAAGCATGCCTTAAATAAGGATGTGGATACCTTTCCTTGTAGGAGGCCTTTTGGGGTAACCCAAAACGTAAAACCGTGAGCTCGACGGCGCTTGTGCGCGGGGCAAAGTGGACAATATCCTGCTACAGGGTTTGGAGCTGTTACATTTGGTATCAGAGCCTGGCCCTGGACCGGTGTGTACAGCGGGGACGCTGTATTCCCAGTGGGGGAGGATGTAATGTCCCACATCGGTTGGAGAGGGGAACGAAGCATGCATTAAATAAGGGTGTGGATACCTTTCTTTGTAGGAGGCCTTTTGGGGTAACCCAAAACGTAAAACCGTGAGCTCGACGGTGCTTGTGCGCGGGGCAAAGCGGACAATATCCTGCTACAGGGTTTAGAGCTGTTACAAAAGCCTACTTCTAAATAATGTTTTTTTTAAGCCTGAGCCAATAATATTGGTCATGTGACTCTTATTAAGTATGCTCTGGTGTAGGTCGAGTCGTAGACTCTTATTAAGTCAGCTGATCCATTTACACCCCTATTAACACATTCACCAATGGTGGATAAATTGTTACTTTTCCTGAAATTTGCATTCTAACCTTAGACTTTAAAGTAATGTTATTAAACCCAACCCGGACATCGATCTGGTTCAGGTACTGGGTCATTGGTCGGACTGGTTGACCTGAATATATATAATTATATAATATATATATATATATATATAAACATATAAATTTAATTATCTTTTCCATATCTAAAATGAGTTAAACAAGATTCACTAAATAAACTCAAAAATTATTTAATCACACTTTTACAAGTTCATGAAGCACAAATAAATAAAAATGCACGCTATTACTATGTCAATTTAAATTTTAACTCAGAATCCCCACAAGCATATATACCTCTCAACGACATTCAAAAGGTCAGATGTTATGAACTTATATTTTTCAAATTCATCTACATTGAAATGACATATGTCATCTTCTCTTAATTTATTGTTTCACAAATTGCTTTAGTATTAGAAACTGAAATTTGATGTCATAGTAGAAGAGTATACTACTAACAAATAAAATTACCAAAAAATTTAAAATGAATTCTACATTTTTTTGACAAGATGAAACAATTATGATTTTGATTAATCATTTATTTTTTATTATAAAAGTACATGACTCGATCGGGTCACCAATTTTAGCCGAATTTGACCTGGTTCAATGCATGGCCCGTCAATATTTGACTCAAAGCAATCCAATGACGAATTTACCAAATTTTAGATTGACCGGACCGGTCGGATCAGATTTCATAACACTGCTTCAAAGTACAATATCCTATATATAATGAAAATGTCAATGGCTTCAGCAAAGACCATAAATCTTTCTATTTTTATTAGTTTAAATTAATAATTGGGATTTTATTAAGATTTTAAAATGAAGTAATGGACAAATACATCTTTCGAGGTGACTGTTACACATTTTCTTGCCTAAGAATTAAAATTGAAGAATATTAAACAAAGTACTATATATCAAAATTTCATGCATACTTTGAACTATTTTTTTTTTATTAGCTTACTGTTATAGCTAGAGTTTTAAATATTATTATTTGGCCAAACTTTAAAATATACAATGAATTTTCTCAAATGTATTTATACTTGAACTAGATTTTTACACATGTTTTATAATATTTTCTTCTTCTATCCACTTGGGCGTATCATGTCATCATAATCATTGGAGGACCTGGAATTTTTTTTAAGGGGAAAAAATAAAAAATATTATATTATAAATAAAATTACTTACAATACAATACAGACTTAATATAAAAAATTTAAAAGAAATTTATTACAGAAATTAACATCACTTCATTTAACTCTTAACTCTATATGTTTTTATATTGTTAAACTCTTCTATAATTGAATTTGTGCTAAAACTCAAAACAATTTCGTTTCAATGTATATAAACAAAGAAACATCAAGAAATTGGTCTTCCATTCTATTTCGGAGCATGTTCCTTTTTATCTTCATATCTGAGAAAGCTTTTTCAGTAGTTGCTGTAGAAACTGAAAAAAAATCAGTATAAATCTAATCACTCTATCACTAAGAGGGTAAATGATGGATTTTTCAGTTCATTACTATAAAAGGCTCTATTTTTTTACAAAATTTATTGATGAAATTTTTTTTGTGAAAATTACTTACGAGATTTTTGACCGAAAACATATTCCATCAAAAATAGAGACGGAGTCAAAGACAAGATCTGTTTTGGTCATTATCATCAACAAGATTTTTCGATGCAAAACATATTCCGTCGAAAATTTTATACGAAATTTGAATTTCTGTCGAAAAATTGCTCTCGGCAAAAAGAAATTCGACGTCTTGCAGTCCATCGTTAATTTCGTTCAAAACATCATTTTCGACAAAAAATTTCCATCGAAAAAATTATGTTTTCTAGAATTGGTTCTTGCTAGCCCATGACAAGTGTGACTTTAAAAATATTATTAAGATATGACCACTAAAAAATAGAAAATATTCTCGGAAACGACCATTAGAAATTAAAATTAAAAAAAAGAACAAACGACAATGAAAAAAATTAAGAACAAAGGTTCATCTGCAATAATAAAAATAGAGTGAATACTTTTTTGGGTCCCTAACAAAAAATATGGTCCCCACTTTAGTCCCTTACAAAAAAAATTAGTCTGTTGGTCCCTATGAAATTCAAAATGGACCCATTTTAGTCCTTTTGAGGGACTAACGTGGGTCTTTTTTAAATTTGTGAGGGATCATGATTTCAACTAAATGGGTCCACTTTGAATTTCTTAGGGACCTCGAGACTAATTCTTTTTTGTAAAAGACTAAAGTGGGGATCGTGTTTTTTTTTAGGAACCAAAATGGGTATTTACTCATAAAAATATATATTACTATTATGTTTATTTCTTGTTTTCAATTTAGCAACAGTGTGGCCTTTGCTTCCCAACAAAAAATAATTAAATAAATAAAGAAAAACAAATAAAAGAATAAAGACTTACTATCTATGAATGCCTTGAGAATCGATGGTGAAAAATTAATGATTTGGAATGGATGGAAAGTTGATAAAGGGACAAAATAGTAGCAAAATTTGGCAGATGAGAGAAGAGCAGTGGCAACGAAGGAATTAGGATTAAGAAAAAATGTGTTTGACAAGTGAGAAAAGGAAAGATTATGAAAAATAAATAAGAAAATCATAAAATATTATTTTATTAAAAAAACAAGATATTATTTTATTAAAAATAAAATAAATATTATTTATTAAAAAAACACGAACTGGGCTTGGAAGCTTAAAGGCTATGCTTGCTAATATATATATATATATATATATATATATATATATATATATATATATATTTCAAATTTTAGGGAGGGATGAGTGCCAACCCTAGCATATATTTCAAATTTTAGGAAGGGGCGAGTGCCAACCCTAGCCCTTAGGTCCATCCGTGATCATGATGTGGTCTTTATGGTCAAAATTATTTCTAGGAAGGTTATGAATAATAAATTATATTGGTGAAAGTCAAGTATTAATTCATGCTTCAATATTTCTAATTGCAAAAGTTTATATGTCTTTTACAAACATGTTATTTATTTAACATTTTAACCAGTAATAATTTTAAAAATTCAAAAGCAGATATAGGTTTGTATATTTTTGACTCATATGTTATATAATATTTTCTTGGTCTATCCACTTGGGCGTATCAAGTCATCATGATGTAGTCGTTATCGTCATAATTATTTCTACGAAGGTTATGAATATTAAATTGGTGAAATTCAAATATTAATTCATGCTTCAATTCTAATCACCAAAGTTCATATGTCTTTTACAAACATTTTATTTATTTATCATTTTAACCTGTAATAATTTTGAAAATTCAAAGCAGATATAAGTTTGTAGAAATTAAAAATTAACTTATTCCATAAGAAACTATTTTATTTAACTCATTGTATGCTTTCAAAATCAATTGATGACACAAATTTATCTTAAATTTGGCATGCATAATTTTATGATGATAATATCAAATTATTCAACTGTTAATTTGTGAAATTCAGATTCTGAAAAAGGATTATTCTATTATCCCTAGGATCTTCACCAAAATCATGTAGTCATCGTTCAATTATTGTAGTAGGGTCATTGTAATTTAATTACGTGAAGTTTCTCTCTATATAAATATGAGGAATAATCTCTCTAGTTTACGTGTTTGAATTGTCTCCCATAACAGAATAAGGCATGCATTGATAAATCTAGTATTCACACCTTTGGATCTTGCATGAGAAGTTAAACTCCAGACTACTATATATTAGAGACTTCTCATTAACCTCTCGTATGCACAACACCATCAACGAAAAAATGATGCCTCTAAGCTCATATTTTACTATTGTTGTATTTGCTTTTTTATTTTCTTTTACATCTTCTGCAGCTGATACTCATGAAAACTTCGTTCAATGTCTTTACAATCATTCCCATAACACAACATCAATCTCTAAGGTTGTTTACACCCAAACCAACTCTTCTTACTCATCTATACTACAGTTTTCCATTCAAAACCTCAGATTTGCTTCCAACACAAGTCCAAAACCACTTCTCATTGTGACCCCAATAGAAATATCCCAAATTCAAGCCACCATAATCTGTTCCCAACGCCATGGCATGCAGATTCGAACTCGAAGTGGTGGCCATGATTATGAGGGTCTCTCCTATGTTTCTGAAGTTCCATTTGTCATAGTTGATCTCATAAACCTTCGAGAAATCGAAGTGGACGTAGAAAACAACACTGCATGGGTTCAAGCTGGAGCAACTGTTGGTGAACTTTACTATAGGATTAGTGAGAAAAGCAAAAATCTTGGTTTCCCAGCAGGTGTGTGCACCACTATGGGCGTTGGTGGGCACATAAGTGGTGGTGGCTATGGATTCTTGATGCGTAAATATGGTCTAGCTGCTGATAATGTAATTGATGCCCACATAATTGATGTGAAAGGTAGGTTTCTTGATAGAGAATCCATGGGTGAGGATCTGTTTTGGGCTATTAGAGGAGGTGGGGGAGCAAGCTTTGGTGTCATTCTAGCATGGAAGGTGAAACTAGTTCCAGTTCCATCAACTGTGACTGTATTCAGAGTTCCAAGAACATTGGAACAAAATGCAACCAAGCTGATTCATAAATGGCAGCTTGTGGCAAATAAACTTGATGAGGACCTAACCATAAGGATCAACTTTCAAAGGGTGAATTCAAGTCAAGATGGGGGGTTAACAATGCAAGCCACATTTGAATCCATGTTTCTTGGAGGTTTAGATAAGCTCATTCCCTTGATGCAAGAGAGCTTCCCAGAATTGGGTTTGGTTAGAGAAGATTGTACTGAGATGAGTTGGGTTGAATCAGTCCTCTATCTTGCTGGATTCACAAGTGGTCAATCCCTTGAAGTTTTGATGAACAGAACTCAAAGTGCTGTATTGTTTTTCAAAGCAAAATCTGATTATGTGAGAGATCCCATTCCTGATGTTGGGTTAGAAGGGTTATGGCCAATGTTTTATGAAGATGAGGCAGAGCTTGCATCGATGATACTCAATCCTTATGGAGGTAGAATGGATGAGATTTCAGAGTCTGAAATTCCATTCCCACATAGATCTGGAAACATATACAAAATTCAGCATTTAGTGTATTGGCAAGAGGAAGGGGATGAGGTAGCACAAAGGCACATCAATTGGATTAGAAGATTGTATAGTTATATGGAACCTTTTGTTTCAAAGTTTCCTAGAGCTGCATATGTGAATTACCGAGACCTTGACATTGGGGTAAATAACAATGGCTACACAAGCTACAACCAAGCCAGCATTTGGGGTCTTAAGTATTTTAAGAACAACTTCAACAGATTGGTAAAAGTGAAGACCAAGGTTGATCCTCTAAACTTCTTCAGAAACGAACAGAGCATACCTTCTCTTATGTTGAAGGGACGCAAATAAATTCCTTGGGGCAGCAAAGATCATAATAAAATAAGCTGCTTTGTTATTTTCCTTTTGTGTATCTAATGCAGCATTCATAAGTCCCTAGCTATTGTATGTACGAAACTATTTTGTTGGCTTATGTTGACTTGTCACACTTAATTTTCCCTTCTATGTAACTTCTTACCATAGTGAAATATTTCCCTTCTATCCAGTGCCTTTATAGTTCTGCTTAATGCTCAGCATGCATATACAACTGCGTCCTTCTAAAGTAGAAAGTGTTCGACCCTAGAGCATGGAGGATGTCCAATTAGAGATTGATGAGTCAATGTATGATCAATATGCTCTTTGGTATGAGGGAGATACCTTAGAGGATTGGAGACCACTGTGCACTATGATAATAAGCATAACTATAACGTGAGATGTGTGCACGGTACAACTAAGAGAGGGAGAGCACAAAATGCATACCTAGTAGGCTTAACCTTTATAGATAGTTACTTGATAGATGTGGAATTTTGAACTTCTTAGCGTTGGGTATGGCTCATACTTCGCGTGCTGATGAGGGCTCTAATTATCGGGGTCAGCAGAAAGACAATTGAAATTCTGCTCCCAGGTGAGCGGGCGGGGGTCCGGGGGAGCCGTCCCAGCGGGGGTCCGGGGGGCAGCGCCCCCAGACCCGCCCGTAGAGGCTAGGTACTATTGTTGGCCTCTGTTTTATTGTAATTTTCTTAGCAGTTTGGACTTGGACCTATGAATAGCTGTTGTTAAGGTTTTGTAATCCTATTTATATTTGTCTTGTAAACCGAGAGACTTGTAACGAGTGGGCAGTGAGGTAAATATAGTACAGACAAGCTGAACGTAGCCTAAATTGAGTGAACCAAGTAAATCGTTGTGTCTATTCTCTCTTTTTTCTTTTCCGTTTGTGATTTGTGTGTTGTCGATTTCCAACACTTAAAAATATTGAGGACCCAACCCAGTGTCTGATTCACTGAAGATATGGTGAGGTTGATATCTTATTAGGAAAGATTCTTTCCTTATATCCCTTAACTATTGTCTATCATGGGCTATTAAGAAGCGAGGGACCTTAAGTTGGGTACATAAGATAAAGGAAGTTTCATTTAGAATCTTACATTTTCCTTCAGTTGAATCCTCATATAAAGAAAGGTGAGCATGTATTCAGAAAAGGGAAATAATTGTCTCATTTTACATGAGATAACTATCTCATGTTTCTCTCACATAAAAAGTTATGACATCATTTTTTCTTTTTTCTTTTTTTAATGGATGGTGGGCTCTACCATATTATGTATCTATAGTAGGAGATACTTATCTCCTACAACATGAGAAAAATAGAACCCTTCAGAAAATATAGGAAACTCTTGAAAGAAATCTACTGAGTTAAAATTATCGCAAAAACAATATGATCAAAGCTATTATTGTTATGATGGTGTTATTACAGCTGCATCGTTTGATGCAATGGTTACTAGCGTTGTGAATATCAGCGATTTAGCTTTTGCCTACGAGGAGAAAAGTTATGAGCAGAGAAATTTGAGGGTGCTTAGTTTGGAGAATTTTTTTTTTTTATTTAATAATTACAATTACCAGGAATATAATAGTAAAATAAGAAATGTGATCAAAAAATTGTTTGGAGACCAAAATTTTACTAAGAATATTGAGTGAAATTTAATGAATCTATGCATGTTGATTATAAAATATTACTAAGAGTTTGATGTGATAATATAAATATACCCCTACTTTGGTATTTTCTTCAACGACCTTGGTAAAGTAATTTTTGTCACATTTTTCAAAGATACAATTTCTTGTTACCTTTTTTTTTCAGTCACTTTTCCAGCAATCTAACAATATCACCTTCTGGGTGCTAAACAATGATTTTTATCCAAGTTTTACACATAAAATGGATTACCAGCAATCTCACTTTATTGGGTAAACTTTTGAAAAACAATACCAAACATGATAATTTTAAAAACCCACCCTCCTCTGGGTATCCAAAAAAAAAACCCTACCAAACACCCCTAACTACTTTGAAAAATTGAAAGAATTTTCTAGTTATGTGAGGTGAGAGGGGTCAAATGTAGGGAAACTCCAAAATTAGTATCTTACATTCTCAGTTGTTGAACTTCTACTTTTTGCACCAAAGATTGAATAACTTTCTATCAAGCGGCGGATCAAGAATTTTTTGTGATGTTAGCAAAAATAAAATATTAAAATTATAAATGTTATTAAAAATAATAAGATAGACTAATTATTATATATTTTTTTAGAGAAACACTAACTATTAGCATTAAAAGTTTATCGTTATTAGGCAAATATTATTTTATACATATAATAATAAAATAATTAAAGTTTAGAAAAAGGCTACCGCCAATACTCGCCCCTCTTTATATGTCCTGATGTTCTGCTGCAACAACACAGCCCATGGACTGCTTGGCAGCATGAATTACTGTTGTTCCCTGGCCAAACTCTTGATGCAATATGTTTCGGTCCTAGTACCTTGTTTTCATTATATAATTTCATTTGAATTTTGTTGGTAATTAGGTGTGTTCTGTGTTGTGTGTTTATTGCAACCAATTATTGTTAATTATTGCAACCAATACTCTGTTCTATCTATCTTCTGGATTATATGTATTGAGTATGAACCTAAACTTCAATTTTATGTATTTAATTTTGGGAAATAGTTTTTTTTATGTCAGTAAAAAATTTGTTTTTCTTATACAACAAAAGAGAAATATAATCCTTTAATTTTTTAAATCGGTATGTGTTGATGATTGTTTGCTATTTAACGCACCTCAACTCTTCTTAGTTACTAACCAAACGAAAGAGTTATAAAACTCTTTGGGAATTGGTTGATTCTGACTTTGTGCTCGATGCCCATTACAAACACGATCCAGTGCTTATGTATTCTCCCTGCATTCACTGTCCATTCCAAGAAGGATAGCAAATTAATCTTCCACAATTGTGACAGAAATTCGGAAGATTTTCAAAATTAAAAAAGGAAAAGACTAAGTTGCCCATAAAACAAGGAACAGATATTTGCTCGATAGTATTACAGAAGGGGGGGTAAAAAGGGGTAATACATCGGTTATGTAACAAAAAAACAAAAAAGTTTTTCTGCACACACAAGAATTGATACGGGTCCATTAAAACTTGTTTCTCTCTCCCAATTCATGTGTGTTTGAAAACTTTTTATTTTCCACATGACCAATATATTACCCAAAAAAAATCACAAAATGCCATGATGTAACCGGAAATATAATATAAAAGTATTAGTGTATCTTTTATGCCTAAATTTTTTGATCGAATTGATTTTTTATATGATATTTGTGATTAGATATATAAATAGATTACACTAGACTTTGACTTAAATAGGTCAGGCCTGTGTAAAAATCCTTATGATTAGCCTAGCCTTTTAGCTTATGTAGGCCCCGATTATAAGTCTGGTCTGACCTGTATTTAAAAAATCAAAGTTATTGCCTTAATATGTTAGCCTGTTTAAGCTTATTAAATATTTAATAATTAAAAAATAACTAAAATATATATTACTGTATTATTCAAAATTATTAAAATAATAATTTTATTTAATATAAATAATATGATATAGGCCGGCCTGTAGGCTTATAGGCTCGATATGTACAAAAAAAGTATATGGCCTACTTTCTAAATAGATTTCGTTAAAAATCTAAGCTTATTCTATTTGACTATTTGTAATAGGTCAAGTCTGACCTAATATGGGTCGTAGGCTCCTATACGCCGGCCTAACCTTTATGACTAAATGATCATGAGTTTTTCCTCTCCGCCTCCATTCTATTCTTAAATAATTAAAATATTATGAAAAAAATTTAACATAGGTAAATGAGTCTATGTATTATTTATCCTTTGAGACCAATATGCTCTTGTATGATGGTTGTGTTAGAATATAAAAGCATTAATATTAAAATCATTTAATAATTTAAAATTTTGAATTGAATTTGTTTTTTTTATCACTATTGACAAATTTTATTGCAGAACCCTTAATTTGGTTATCAGATAATACTTTTCAAGAGCTAGGTCTTTATAAATCAATGTTATTAAATACAGATTTGGCCTATTATAAATAGTAAAATAGAACAGACTTAGGCTTTTAAAAAAATCTATTTAGAAAATATGTCATAGGTTTTTTTTTGTAGATCTTGATCCTATAAGCCTACAAGCTGGCCTATATCATATTATTTATTTTGAATAATAAAATAATATTATTTTAATTATCTTTTTAATTGTTGAATATTTAACAGGCTTTTAACAAGCTAACAAGTCTAGGCGAAAGCTTTTATTTTTTAAATACAGATACGACCAGATTTGTAATTTGGAGCCTACACAGGCTCATAGGTCCGACCATACCCAATATTTTTTTTTCACGGACCTATTCAATTTAAGTCAAAATTTAACCTATCCTAGCCTATTTACACAGCTAAACATGCAGCCCAAACCCAAGATCTTAGAATAAGCAGCGTTGCTGGAAAAGCACGAATAATAGAGTTGATCTATACTGAGCAACAACCTGAATTGTCCAACACAAATGTATAAATGACAAGTGTTTTGTTTTTTAACTTAATCAAACGAACAAAATATTCAAATTATGCAGAGAAAGCCCGAGGGGAAGTTTGAATTCAGTTCTCAAAAACAGTTTTTAAATTTAAAAAAGAAAAGAAAAATGTTTGTCATTTTAAATGACATAAAGTTATGTCATTTTAAGATAGAGATAGACAGAAAAAAAATTATTTAAAATTTAAATAAATAAAAAAATCACTCACTTTCTCTCCCATGATTTTCATTTCTTGTGTCTATCTCTCTCTTAAAATGATATAACTTATGTCATTTAAAATGACAAACATCAAATCCTAAAAAAAAATTATTTGATAATGTATGTTTTGTAAAAAAGTTCTAAAAATTATAATTATTTTTTTAGTTTTTAAAATCAAATTTATAAAACATATCAAAATTATTATTTTTTTGTGTTTCGATTTTTAATTTTTAAAATAAAATAAAAAACACTTGCTTCAGTAACTATTCTACAAAATGTT